TGCCCTTTCTGTTATCTACATGTGTTCTGTTGTACATAGGGTTTTCAGAGGCCTGCTATTTCAGAAGTGGATGGCCAATCCTTCTTCCTAGACTGTCTTAATGTGAATGTTCAGATTTAGAGAAGTATCAGACAGACCAGCAAGTTAAAGGTATATCCATCCCTACACACTCATATCATTTGGGCTTTTACCCCTTCACTGTTTGTACACAAGTAAATTTATGTGCAGTTATATGACTTAAATGTCTTAGAGATTTGTCTGTGATGATAAATAAAGATATCATTCTGGTGGCCTAGTCTGTAGAGAGTTGAGCTGCTGACTCAAAGATCATGCCTCTCCCCCACTTTGAATCCACCAGCTGCTCCATGGGGCAGAAAGCTAGTCTCCTCCCATGTGATTTACTGCCCTGGAGATCCAGCTTTAGCTTGGTTCTGACTAAATGACAATGTATGGTAGTAGTAATTTTTTTAATGGTTGCAAAAGATTGTTGATCATTTCAGTTGTATTGTACTGATTGGATACCTACACACACTCCTCCCTATCATTTGGGCTTCCCCTCCCTCTCACTGTTTTTACACAAGTGAAATTACATGTAGGGGCTCTGGTGACTTACTGCTAAGGAACTGTGCTGCCAAAGCAAAGCTCTATGGTTCAAATCCACCAAGTGCTCCATGGGAAAAAAAGATGGGCAAACTCTCCCCAGGAGATTTACTGCCTCTGAAGACTTGCTGGAAGGTCAGCTATGAGTTGTTTCCAACTCAAAAGTATGCAAGAATAATGTCCTAGACAGTCTTATTATTAGATTAAGATTTTGTGACCTAGAATTCCTTTTTTAAAAATTCCGTTTATTTATCCATTTACTTAATGCCAGCTTTGTTACAGGCACGGACCTTGGTCCCAGGGATACAGTGGCAAATGCATATGTAAAAAATAGTGTTGGCTTTCCCAGGGCTTAGAGTGAGAGCAGCACATCTGTTCTGCTTGTTGGTTGAATGCACACACACTCCTAATGAATCTTGCCAGATGTGATTATCTAGTCCAGAGATTGTTGTTCTGTTCTGCAAATGAAATGATTGGGTAGTAAATGTTTTAGGTTTTGTGGGTTACATATGGTCTCTGTCACATGTTCTTCCTGTTTTTGTTTGGCTTTTTGCAGCCCTTAAGAAAGATAAAAACTATTTAGCTTAGTCAGTGCAAAGCCAGGCCCCAGGCCAAAATTTTGTTTTAAGGGTAGTTATCTACCCCTGATACAGTTTCAGGGGAAGTTATCGACTCCTGATAGAATAATCTCTTTATCCTACTTAGTTTCTTGCTTTCCTTTCCTTCTTTTGTTTACTCTACGAAAGAGTGAAAAAGATGTGTTAAGAAGTCTACGGTGATGGCTGATGTTTTTCCCCTGAAATCTCCATGTGTCTAATGTCTGCTGTGTTGTTGCTGTGCACCGGCATGTTTAAGCTCCCCTGTTCCACACACTGATTCTTTTCTCATTCGAACCTTCTCCTCAGTTGGCTTTGTCTCTCTCCCCAGGCTGGTGGGGGCCGACGGTTTTCATGGCTGCAGCTGGTGTTATCTGCTTTACTTTCTTACAGATGGCAGCTCACCTGATTTGTGTGGAAAGTGTGGCTCTCTCCTTGGTGGCTCACTGATTCCCTGGCACTCCTGTGCTGTGGACCTCTGGAGCCAGCCAGATGGGAGCCTTGTCCTGGGCCACTAAAGACAGTGAATAGGACCAAGATGACTAGGTAGATAAATCAGGAAGTGACCAACAAACAAGCAAGGACTCCCTACCCAAGTCTAAAATTTAGGGCTGAAGAGTCGGTTAAGGCAGTGTTACAAAGCCTGCCAGTCCCCAGTGTCCTTGACTAGATCAGCAACTGCTCCTGACCTCCGACTCTTCCAACCTCTTCTGGAGTTACTCCTAAGTCTATCCTATCAGGGTATTGGTTGCCCACTGAAAATAGAGAAGATGATTTCACAATTATATTTAGTCTTTGTATTTCCCTATTCATTGTTTTGGCAGCCCACTGCCTCTGACCCTCTGCTGTACTAAATATTCTATCTTACATAGTGGTCTGCTCACTGTGGCCAGCCTTTCATATGCAGGGACTGGCACAAGCCTTCCCCCAGGCGCTTGCTGCCAACCCCTGCTGCCTCAGGTTTGAGGATGCTCTGGGCTTTCTCTCTCACAGCTTCCTGCCTTCACCCAGTTGAATTGCTCAGCACTGAACTGCTTCACTTCAGTGTCCCATCAGTTTAGAGCCCTCCTTCTGCCTTCAACTTCTTATTTTCGTGTTTGTTGAGTTGTTTCAGTAAGAACTTGGGAGAGAGGAAAGCAAACATTTACTCTCGGGTTACCACCTGAAACAGGAATGCATCTCAGGAAAATCCCTCAGCTTAGTAACTTTGTGTGTGTGTGTGGATTGGGAAAGGATCAACACTTTTCCATGTTAGTGGAATCTCGTCCCAGGTTTCCATGGGAGCATAGTTGAAAGGGAAACTAACCTGGATTATACCATCTGATTATAAGGAAGTTGTCAGTTTACTTCTGCCATTCCAGGTCCAGGAGAGTCCAAGCCAGGGTGACATGTAGGATCAGTATGCGCCTAGGACTAAGGAAGAAGGAGGGACGATGCCTTTGAGTTGTGATGTTGAGAAGAGTGTGGAATTTCCCATGCGCGGACTGACAAAAGAACAGATAAATCTCCTTGGAGGAAGTTCAATCACGGTGCTCCTTTGAGTCAAGGATGGTGAAACTTTCTCTCACATACTTTGGGCATGTTGTCAGGAAGGGCCAGTTCTTGGAAAAGGACATAGCACTGGGGAAAGTGGAGGATCCGAGAAAGGGGAACAAGGTGGATTTACAAGTGACTGTTACAGGGGGCTTGAGCATCTCGGAAATGGTGAGGACGACACAGGGCAGGAACACTGGGAGTCACAGGCGACTTGACGGCACTTGGACACAGGACTGGAGACACTTTTACCTGGGTTTTTTTTTATTGTTGTTGGTGGTTTCTCCCTAGTGTTACGGATGACCTTATTTTCTTTTCACTTTTACCTGTTTTTCTCAGTTTATTTTCACTTTGCCTCTACTTGCTGGAACCAGAAACACATGGAGTCATCCTTAAATCTTCTCTTACCCTTTTGCCCCACACCTAATCCATTAAAAAACAAACAAAAAACAAAACAAACAAACCACCCACAAAACCTGTTGGCTTTTCCTTCAAAACATACCTAGAACTGGCTCTGGTCACCTTCTCCAGATGCTGGTCCAGGTCACCATCTTCCACCATGTACATTGTGGAAAGAACCTCCCTGTACCCAGCCTTTTGTAGCTGGGACAGCAACCATAATAATTTTTTTAAAGTACAAATAAGGTAATGTTCCTTCTCTGGGCAGTGGCTCTGTGGCCCAATGCATGCTGACCCTCCAACCTCTCCTGTTACTCTCTCCCCATGTTTGCTTCGTTACAGCTTCACAGGACTTTTTGCTGATCCTCTAACACAGCAAATAAATTCCTATTTTTATGTCTTTAGGCTTTTGTGTTTGCTGTGTTCTCTTCCTGTAATTCCCTTCGTTCATATATCCCTCTCTCATTCCCTTTAGGCTTCTACTCGTATATTCCTTACTGATGTCTCTCCAGGCCACCCAGAATAAGTAGTATCTCTTCTCTATTTCACCTTAGTTATGGTCAGCTCCATGGCAGTGCATTTCCTCCTTTCTGACCTTCTCCCTCACTGCCTGTCCTCCTTTCCTGACTCTGTGTTCCTTCATGGAACTTAGCACCGTAAATTACATGATACAGTTACTTGTTGATGGATTTCCTTCCCTCTAGAATATAAGCACCAAATAGATAGGGCTATTGTTGGGTATAATCCCTCTCTACCTCTGCAGCCTACTAAGGTGCCTGGAATGCAGTGAGGTCCTCAGAAAGCATTTACTGAGTGACTGGATGAAGAGTCTGAAGTTCTGGAGTCCTAAATAGAAATATTGTGAGAACTTGCTTATCTCTAAGTTCTAGTTGTTTTCAGAATATAACAAACAGCAAAACCAGTCTTAGGGGGAAATCTGTCCAGTTAAAAGTATGTATATCTTAACAAATTTTGCAACTATTTTAGAGTCAGTTTACTTTTTATAAGATAAGCATGGAAGTGCTTGGTTTAGTTCTACTTAGTGACGGCTTGCTTTCTTTTCTCTTGCATGAATAGAATTATGTTTCAAAAGCCTGGTACATTTTCTTTGTTTATTTATAGGTGGAGAGCAGCTCAGCTCATCAAGAGCATACCTGCTACAGACCTGCCACAGGTCAGGGCCAAGGTTGCTGCCATGGAAATGCTGAAGGGTCAGAGGGCTGACCTTGGGCTCCAGAGAGCCTGGGAGGGCAACTATCTTGCTTCGGTAAGTTCAAAGAAACAATGTAAAGTGTGTACTTGCTCCCTTTACAAAGAGAGAAATGAGTTGTTATTATTGTTGTTGTTGCTGTTATTGCTGTTATGTGTTGTCTAGTCAACTATGTCCCATAGCAACCCTATGAACCCTTGACCCCTGCCCTATGCTGAGCCACACTCATCATCTATGACACACCTGTCCCATTACCACCATCACTGTGTCAATCCATCTCATCCAGGGTCTTCCTTTCCTGCACTGCCCCTCCACCTTCCAAGCATGATGTCCTTCTCCAAGGACTGGTCCCTCCTGGCAACATGTTCAAATTATGTGAGTCAGTGCTTCAAAATCCTTTCCTCCAAGGAGCAACCTGGTTTCATCATCTCTAGGACAGACCTGTTTGTTCTCTTGGCAGTCCATAGGTTGTTCAATACTCTTCTCCAGCACCACAACTCAGAGGTATCAGTTCTTCTTCTGTCATCCTCAGTCATAAGAAAGAAAAAATATCTTTAGAAATTTAAGAATTCTTAAGGAGATACTAAATTAAAATGTTTTAGTGCTTTTATTCTGGTATTCTGATTATCATTAAGCCTAGAACACTTAATTAAGCTCAGGTAGGACCTATATGTAGACCCAGGGATAGTTGTTGGAACAGAACAAGGGGATACATTGTGTGAATTTAAATAGGGAAAAGTTTCTGTCAGTGTTCTATTCGTTCACCATACTTAATCTATATGTTGAACAGAAAATCCAAGAAGGTAGACAGTATGAAGAAGACAGCATCAGAACTGGAAGAAGGCTTATTAACAACTTTTGATATGTACATAAGATAAACTTGTTTGCTTAAATACTTAGAGCACTTCCTGATGAAGATCCAAGACTACAGCCTTCAGTATGAAGGCAATATAAATCAGAACTCAAACTTATTACCATCAAGTTGTAACAGACTGATAAGGGTTTTCAGTTTCCAGTGGATTTTCAGAGGCTATAAATCATTCAAAAGGAGACTGCCAACTTTTCTCCCCATGGAGCATCTAGTGGTTTCAAACTGTCAGAGAGGCACCACCTTTGGTTTGCCAGAATAGCTCCCTATAGACTATACTACCAGTGCTGCCTTCTTCACCATAAAGGAGATATAAATGCTCACAGCTGGATCAGTAAGCAGCATCATGATAAACAAATAATACTAATGTTGTCAAGAATTTCGTTTTATTTGGATCTACAATCAACACTCAGGGAATCAAACAACTCATTGCATTGGGCAGATTTGCTACAAAGGATCTCTTTAAAGTATTAAAGATCCAGGATGTCACTTAAAGACTAAGGTGCACCTGACCTTAGCCATAGTTTTTTCATCACTTCACACGTATGCAAAAGCTGGGCAATAAATAAGGAAGACCAAAGAATTGATGCCTAGTAGCAAAGAATACTGACTAAACTATGGACTGCCAAAAGAACATGTCTGTCTTAGATTAAGTACAGCTAGAATGCTCCTTGGAAGTGAAAATGGCACAATTTGATCTAGCATTCTTTGGACATGATATTAATAGTGATCTTGCCTGTGCTTGGTAAAATAGTAGTAATCGTTGCTATTAGATGCCATGAGTCAGCCACAACATAGCTACCCTGTGAACAGCAGATCTAAACCTTCCCTTGTCCTGCACCATCCTCATGATCTTCAGCATGCTTAAGCCCATTGTTGTGTCAGTCTGTCTTGTTGAAGTTCTTCTTTTTCTCTGACCCTCTACTTTTCGAAGCATTAATGTCTTTTTCCAAGATCTGGCTCCTCTTGACAACAAACCCAAAGTACATGAGATGAAGTTTTACAATCCTTGTCTCTAAGGAGCACCCTGGTTGCACTTCCTCCAAGAAAGATTTTTTTTTGTTCTTTCAGCAGACCATAGTGTGTTCAAAATAGAAGACCCTCAAAAAGCTGGATTTGCATAGTGATTGCCAACAATGGGCTCAGACATCATGCAGGATAGCTTGAGACTATGAATCGGAACCAACTTCACAGCACTTAATAATAACATAACTATGTGGTACAGCACTTGTCTGTCAGTTTGCTGTACTGAGATAACTTGGGGTTGCTATGATACTGAACACTTTGCCACTGGTTTGTCAAACTCCATAATGGTTACCCATGGTGGTTTGGTAGAGCTCCTAGATTAAGACAGACTTAGAAGCAGGATTGGCATCCACTTCTTAAATAAGAAATGATGATAGTTATAGAATAAGGTTCAGACCTTTTGTTCATAAAGTCACTATGAGTTGTGCTTAACTCAGTGGCACTTAACAACAACAAAAACAAAACAAATTTTAAAAAACAACTTTTAAATTGGGTTTTCTCTTTATAACAATAGCAAAACATACAAAATATTTGATGTTTCTTCATTTCTCAGCCCACCTTTACAAAAGACTTCTCTGCATTGCATTTGTTACATTCTGTACCTCAGCATTGGACTGCTTAAACCTTCAGCAACTATTTTAATTACCATTTTTATATTAATTATTTCCCAAGCCACATTTCACCCTTTCTCCCACTTCCTATCTTTAAAAATTTAGAGGCTCTCAAATGTTTTAACAACACTCTAGTTATTTACCACCTGGACTGAGGAAATAAAAAGTATGTGCGCAGAACTATGTGAGTATAGTTATAAACTCTGTAAGTGCAGTTATAAAGCACTATACTAAGAGATTGCCTTTTCATATAAAATGCTAAGCCTACTCATTTTATCATTTTATTTCTTTTTCTTTCAGAAGCCAGATACACCACAGACCTCAGGCACTTTTGTTCCTGTTGCTAATGAACTGAAACGCAAGGACAAATACATGAACATCCTCTTTTCCTGTCATGTCCGTAAGGTAAGACAAGCTTGAACCAGACCACCCTGGAGAGAAAAACCTCACTCAGACGCAGCTCGTTTAAAAGTGCCCGCAATGGAAGATGTCACTTTGAGGACGAAGGTGCATAACATGATCAGCTTGTTGTGACGCATTTCTGGAGTGACTAATGGGACATTTAGAGTCAGGCTGTAGTCTTCATAAAGGAAGTGAATTGTCTTGGTAACCCTTTCTTTTCAAAAGGGTGAAAAATACAGTTTGTAAAAGATGAAAATGAGATACTGAGATTTGAAGGTGAGAAAGAAAGAAGTTAATGACCATCCTTGCTGGTCTGAGCAGAACATATGAATCATTTTTTACCTGGAGATGATAGCAGTCGGGCAAGTGGAAGAGTAGAATGCAGGGCTGTTGGGTTTTTTTAAAATAAAAAAACAAAACCACCAAACTTGATTAGGAAAAGAGAGATGAAATTCAAGTGATTACAAAAGAACATTTTGTTAAAATTATGCAAATAAGTATTAAAATGGTAATGAAATGGAAAATACTGGTGTAATAATTAAGATTGGAGCATAAATTAATTAAATAGGGAATAGATAAACAATAGAGAAAGTGAAAAGAAGCCAAAAGTTGGCAAACCTTTAGTTCCACCAAAAAGGCAGATTAAACTTCAGCTATGTGTTGTGTTGTGTATTTGCCAGGTGTCATCAAGTTGCTTGACTCAGAGCAACCTTATATACAGCAGAATGAAGCCTTGTCAGGCTCTGTGTCATCCTCAGTATCGTTGCTGGGTTTGATCCCATTGTTTCAGCCGTTGTATTGATGCATCTCCTGGAGGTTCTTCCTCTTTTCCCATAAGCCCCTACCAAGCAAAATGTCCTTCTCCAGAGACTGGTCCTTGCTGGTACCAGGTCCAAAGCATACCGTCCTAGATTCTAAGTAGCGTTCTGGCTGTGCTTCTTCCAACATAGACTGGATTTGTTCCTTTTTCAGGCGGTCATCTTTGGCAGCTTCGTAGTTCAGATTGATCAATCCCTCTTAAGTCTTACATATTCATTTTCTTTCCAGCTTTCAAATGTACATGAGTTGTTGTTGTTGTTATGTGCCGTCAAGTCGCTTGCAACTCATAGCGACCCTATGTACAACAGCCCTAAACTCTGCTCTGTCCTGTGCCAATGCACTGTCTCTGACACTCCCATCCGATTACCCCAGTCACTGAATCAGTCCACCTCATAGAGGGCCTTCCCCTCCTGCGCTGTCCCTCCACGCTACCAAGCATGATGTCCTTCTCCAAGGGCCGGTCTCTCCTTACAGCATGTCCAAAGTATGTTAGACGGAGCCTCAGAATCCTTGCCTCGAAGGAGCCACCCGGTTTAACCCTTTCCAGGACGAATCTGTTTGTTTTCCTAGCAGTCCGTGGTATTCACAATACTCTTCTCCAGCACCACAGCTCAAGGGCATCAATTCTCCTTCTATCCTCCTTAGTCATTGTCCAACTCTCTGATGCATAACAAGTGATTGCAAAGACCAAGGCCTGTATCAGATGTACCTTAGTCTCCAGAGAGACACCATTGTTCTTCAGTATTTTGGAGAGGTCCCTAATAGCAGACTTTCCCATGGCAATATATCTTTTAATTTCCTGGATACTGGTGCCGAGAGTGTTGACTATGGAGCCAAGCAAACTAAAGCTCTGATCAATCTCAATCTCTTCACCATCCATCCTGATGCTGCCAATTGGTCCAGTGGTGAGAATCTTTGTCTTCTTGACATTGAGCCTCAATCCATATTGTAGGCTGCAGTCCTTGACCCTCTGCAGCAGGTGCTTCAGATCCTCCTCAGTTTCAGCAAGCAGAGTTGTGTCATCTGCATAACGCAGATTGTTGATAGATCTTCCACCAATCTTGTTGTTATCAACAACATGTACATGAGACTATTTGAAAATGCCATCGCTTGGGTCAAGTGTACCTTAATCCTCAAGATCAGATCTTTTCTTTTGAGCACTTTAAATATATCTTTTGCAGCACAGTTGCCCCAATGCCATACATTGGTTTCTTGACTGCTACTTCCCTGAGCATTGATTATGGAACCAAACAAAATTAAATTCTTGGAAACTTCAGTCTTTTCTGTTTATCATGATATTGTCTATTGATCTAACTGTGAGACTTTGTTTTCTTTACGTGGAGTTGAAGTTCATAAGCAAAGCTGTGGTCTTGAATCTTCATCAGTTTTCTTTGTGTTTGCCAAACAAGGTTGTATCCTCTGCATGCCTCAAGTTGTTAATGAGTTTTCTCCTAATCCTGGTGCTGTATAATAGTTTCATCTATGTAGTGTGAACAAACTATTATCTGTGTTTGAACTCGGTGTGATATAGATGTTTAGAAAAATAGAGAGAAGCCTGTTACCATTAGGAAGGAATAGATGTCATCAAGAGCCAACTGGCAAGATCTTGGTGTTAATATAGTTGTCCCAAGTCTTGTTGAGCTCCTACTTCCAGAAACTATGTTTTAAAAGTGGACTTAGAGCTGATGAGACAATCAGAAAATGGCACTCAGTAATCAAACTTATACACCCGCACAGACAAAAAAAAAAGCCTAAAGAGCAATGTCTGTCTGTGAATATCACAGACAATTGTACCATTCCAGTGACTCCTCATACCCACTATCTAGCATATCTCTTTGCCAATATCAAGTTGTCTGGGAAGTCAAATTACCAATCAAAACAAATGATCCACGAGAGTTGAATCGTGTTTAGAATTGTGTCATCTACTTGGACACATGGCTAGGAGGGACCAGTCCTTGGAGGACATCATACTTGGAAGGATGGAGAGAGCACAGGGAGAGGAAGATCCTGGAAGAGATGGCCTGACACAGTGACTGGGGTAATGAGGGCAGGTGTTTCAGAGATGATGAGATTGGCTCAAGTTAGGGCAGGGTTCAGAGCTAATGTACATGGGGTCACTATGAGTCACAGATGACTCGATGGCACATAAAAATAACAACAACTGGAATATGGAAAAGCCTGATGTCTCTGAGTATCTTTCCAGTAATGACATTTTTATATGTGACAGAGAGCATGCCTGTCTTTAGAGCTTGCTGGATTAAAACTGAAAAACTTCATATTCATACTCTTGTCCTTCTAAATTCACTGTAAAATAATCTTTCTTTATGCTTTAGTTTAGAAATACCTTTTTTAGAAACCTTTCAATCTCAACAGTATGCCAGAGTAAATTTAATATGATTTCAGTGAAGCCAGCCTCTTTGTGCTTTGATTCTTTTTGAAGCATTCACTTCCCATTAACCGCAGTTACAAAATGTCCCCAAAGGTTGAAGACTTCTCCAAATAGCAACTTTCATCATTATGTGTTTTCTCCTGGTTTACTTCTCTAGGGAGACTTTATATCATGCCCCCTGTGGTACTGACTAAACCTGTAAATAGATCACTAGAAGTATTTGAGCAAAAGTGAAATGAAAGGAATTTCTTACTTGGTTCAGGACTTTAGCTTTGAGTAATAGAAGAACTAAGATAAAGTATCATCAAATGTATGTCTGTAACTCAGTTTTTCTGTTGTTTTATGCCTTTACATGGCAGCAAAGTAGTCCTCATATTTATATTAACTTAATTGAGCCTGAAATTTAGGCATTTACATACATAGAGAATTTTTTTATTTGCCTCTTTGATTTAACCTAGTTATACAATTTGGAGCTTTTACTTTGTTACGTGATGTCCTTCCCACTCACCTGATCCATGTTTTAAGGATAATTTGAGTTACTGAGACAGAAGGTAAAGATTTGTGATGTGTTCCCTTTAGAAATTACATTTTTGGCATAAAAAAGAGTAATATTTCTAAACAAAAAACAAAGCATCAATATAATTGCTTATTTAGGATTTTTGTTTGTTGTTTTGTAGTTCAATTGTCACAGAAAGGACAATGCTCTCCATTTGACCACTGCAGGATATTGGCTCTAATTCTAGAGAAATTATGGAATGAAAGGTTTTTTTAATTATGTTCTTCTGCACTACAGTTGTGTTTCCCAATGCAATTCCATGGATGAGCCATTCTACTTTTACTTATTATTCAGATTCCATTGTATAGATTGTCTATTCTAACATGTGTGGAAATGGTACTGAGTTTCTTCCAGGATAAGTGTAGCAAAACCAGTGTTCTGTTGGGTATTATTAGGTACTTGGGGGAAAGGACTCTATTATTAAATGTGTTTGGGTAATGCTATGTTAAAGTGTTCAACTTACTCTTTAAGTGCAAAATTCCCAGAACTTTTAATATATTCATCAATTATTAATATTCTAAGGGAGGCGTTGCTTTGCAGTATTTTTCAAATCTTTTCTTTCACAAAACATCACATAAGGCTACTGTGTCGAAAGCCTGAAAAATACCAATGTAGAAGCTATATATTTACTTCACATCCTCTGACAAGTACCAGTCTTCTTTTATGGCAAAATATTGTTCTATAAAATTACCTACCAAGAATAGGAATTCTTTTACCACAAAGACTGCTTTACTTTTAGTTACAGACAGCATTTTTGTCAAGTTGAAGACTGAAAATAAGCTTTTGTTGTAAGAGAAATGGTTGGAAAATGGACTGATTTTTCTTTTTAATTATGAGGCAAAATGGAGACGATTGAGTACAATTTAGACTAGAATTTGAGGAGCTGATGGCATAGGAGGATTAGTGTTGGGCTGTTAGTGACCATTTGGCAGTTTCAACCTGCTGTCAGTCCAGAGCACAAAGATGAGACCGTTTCCTTCAGGGAAGGTTCAGAGCCTCTGAAAACTGTGGGGGAGTGATGATGATGGTACATTTAATTTTGTATTTATATCCTACCAAAGCTAAGAGTATTTTAAAAAAT